CTCCCTCCTGGCTCCGGCTTGACTCCCTCCTGGCTCCGGCTTGACTCCCTCCTGGCTCCTGCTTGACTCCCTCCTGGCTCCTGCTTGACTCCCTCCTGGCTCCTGCTTGACTCCCTCCTGGCTCCTGCTTGACTCCCTCCTGCCTCCTGCTTGACTCCCTCCTGCCTCCTGCTTGGCTCCCTCCTGGCTCCCTCCTGGCTCCCTCCTGGCTCCCTCCTGGCTCCTGCTTGACTCCCTCCTGGCTCCGGCCTGGCTCCCGCATGCTGCAGTCTGATGACTGCTTGCTGTATGTAGACAGGTTTGATCTTAATATGGCATTGGACACATTGAGTCTGATCTTTGCTTTCCTGTACAGATAATATGTCTTGACCTGTCAGAGGAGATGTCACTGCAGAAGCTTGAGTCTTTCAATGGGTAAGGTATACCCGTTCCATACTAAAGATTTGGAACTGTATCTTTTGTACCAAAACTATTCCTATACAGGGTCATTGACTATTTTGAATCACATCAAATTTTTGTACTGCGTATATAAATACAGTATATTCTACATAGCATTATACATGTGACTGCATATGGCTGTTAAAATTCAATTGTAATTAGAAAAACTGGAAAGGACTTAGTGCTGTAAATGAAAAAGTATGTATTTGCTAAGAAATGCAATTCAGGGTTTGGGTTTTGTAAGGAGACTAGATGTTGTTTAAAATGAGTTCACCAGTAGCAATTAACTGTTGTTAATCATATTTGTATTAGATTATGTGTTATAGTTTGAGTGATTTTATATTGGTGTGTTAATTTTTATTGGATGAAATGTTAAAAAAATGCCTATATGGTTAGTGGTTACTGCCTCATGTTTCCAGATCGAAAACCAACGCCCTGAATATCTCACAGAAGATGATAGAGATGTTTGTGAGAACAAAACACAAGATTGACAAGCGCCATGAGTTTGCCCTGGTCGTGGTCAATGATGATGCCTTGTGGGTGAGCACTTCATTTTTTATATGGATTTTTCTGTTTTTTGGCCATTTCTGTTATTCTTTATGCTTAAATTAATTTGACTAATTGTTCAACTGTGTGAAAACTAGCATGTTAGCATTATAATTTACGGCTGACTTAGAAAGAATTGGAGTACAATTATTACACTCTCACACCTCTTAATTTCCTCCCCAAAACATCTGAAATTGTATTTCAGCAACTATTTAAGACCATCCAAACTATTACAAATCAGAGTTAGTTATTTATTAAGTTTATTTGTTATTTTTTTTTATCATTAGTTTATTTGTTACTTAGAAACGCATTGATCCAAGGATCTGAAAGATTTGTGGAATAATACTTTTTGTTTGAAATGTTTATTATGAAATTGTCTGTGAAGAAACAAAATCATGAATATTGCAGTCTGTACACACATTTTTTGGCATATGATTGCTGCCAGTTCCTAGGATCAATTATAATTATTGATTCTTATCTACAAATGCATTTGTCCTTTTCAGTTGTCTGGCTTCACATCGGATCCCAGGGAGCTGTGCAGCTGCCTCTATGACTTGGAGACAAATGTCTGCGAGTCTTTTAGTATCCTTCCATCTCTGAGCTCTCCCCCCTCTCTCACACAGGATCTTTCGTTTTTTCACTGGAAATCCAAATGTGGTCTTTTACCACTGCAATGGAAATTGCACTCATTTAAAATCGCAGTTCCTGTGAGTTTGCATCTTCCTTAACTTCATCACCAGATCTTGAGGACCTTTTAAATTTGATGTAGGTATTAAACAGTTACTCATTTGCGATCAGTACTTGGTGGGATCTGATGTTCTGTGGAACTGAATTTATTGTTGCTTTTAGTGTCAGTCAGTGTGCATTATGAGGGGAGTTTCCCTGTATCGCAGCCGTTCTGAAGGCTGTTTTCTCTGTGTTGCCACCTGCTTGTAGCCTCCAAAAGATTGAGCTGCCGCAGATGGAGAACGTGCAGACCATCCCACCCCCCTACGTGGTGAGGACCCTGCTCATCTACAGCCGACACGCCGGACAGCAGCAGTTCAGCCCTTCGGAGGCTGTCAATGTGAGCGCACATCGCCTCTGTGAAACACACTTGCATCCCCCTCACTGCTCACAGTAAGGTAAATGCCAAGTCTCTAACCCTGTCCCATCCTCTATCCTAAATGGTTTTGCCTTTCCTGTCCACAGAAGATGCTACAGTCTCCCTATTTCTTCTTTGATGTGGTGTACTTGCACAATGGAGCGGAGGAGCAGAACGACGAGTGCAGCTGGAAGGTGAGGGGTTTGAACACGAAGGAGAACCTCAGATCTCAGATCGGGCACGCGCAAAGAGGCAACATTGGACAAATACCAGCATCTGTCGGCTAAGCCAGGAAGCCTTGATAAGTTTTATGTCAATTAATGAACTTATGTTTCATGGGTTTTTCTTTTTTAAACCAAGATTATCACCATGCAAATATTGTACAATATTTTCCACAAAAGGAAAAAAAAACGACAACTATAAATGGCAAGGGGATGTAAAATAAAACAGGATTTTGACCATCTGCCTGTGCCCTGGGTTTTCCAAATGGGTGTACATTATTTGTTTTATTTCTCTTATTTTCTTCTGATTATTCTACCCTTGTCTAGTCATTGAATATGTGCCATATCTCCCGAATGTGTTTGGCTGCCCTCGTCTTCCTGCAGGATGTGTACACCTCCTTCTGTGACCTGGACACCAAGGGCACCTGCTACCAGTTTGAAGTCTCGCTGTGCGGCCCTGCGATCGAGCTGCACAACTGCATGGCCAAGCTGCTCTCCCACCCCTTACAGAGGCCCTTCCAGAGCCACGCCTCCTACAGCCTCCTGGAGGGCGAGGAGCTTCAGGAGATCGAAGCCACAGTGTGACAGAAGCGGTGGAGGACCAGGCTGTGGGGGAACTGTGCATCCAGCATGTTGGCAACATGTTTCCATCTTGACTTTGATGGCTTGCATTAGGAAACCCGGATTTAGTCACTGTATCCTGGAATGCATGTTGTACTGAGTTGGCTGCAAGGTTCTGATTTGTAATTATCGTAATTATCAGGAGGGAGAACAGTTTTATTTGCCTTCTATGCCAGTGAAACAATCATTGGATCCTCACCTCTGCAAGACTGCCTGTCCCACTAGGAAATATAGTTGATTTTTTAATGAAAATGTGTATCATAGCTTTTCCAGTTTTCAATGGGTTGGTGCAGCATAGGGTATAATGTTCCAGCCATGCACAAGCAAGGACAGCCTCATCAAGAATGGGATTGTGCCAAGTTTACATCTGTTTCATCCTTAAATGACCTATTCCTTAAGCCAGCTTGGGTTTCAGATTTTAATAAACTTTGAAACAACATTTTTCTTGGTAAGTGCTTTCTTGCTTGTGTATGGGTGTGAGTTTTTGTTTTTAAGCTGGATGTTGTTGGTAATGTTTGTTTTAAAGTCCTAGTTTCGTGAAGATCAATGCAACTGTAACGATTAAAAAAAATACAGATAGTTGGTCCTATTATTGATAAAAGCATCTTCCAAAAATGAAAACAACGTATCATTATAAAGAAGCACACCACTTACTCAGCACCTAAGGGCAGTACACCACCACTCTTAAGTCAATTTATTGTTTCAGTGCATTAAAAGAAAAATCTGACATCTGTGTTCATAACATCTTTCAGTAAATGAATACTATAATACTTAGCTGGAGGTCACACATGTGAAGTACATAAAAGTAGAGAAAAATACCTTACTGAGTGCAAAATAAAACTCTTAATCACAGCATTATCTCCAAACAATATATTTAAAAAATGAAGGCCTCATTCCTTGTTTGGAACTACTTACTTATTTTGCTCCTAGTTTATGGTAAATTAGCTAACGTACGTTTTGATCTGTAATATCCCACTCTGCCAGAATTGTACTCAAGGTCTTAGTGCAGAGGTCCTTTCCTGCATCTGTTCCTCAGTCAGCAGTCTGTTTCAGGTTCTGTTCCAAAGTTTTTGTTATTGCCAGGTTCGTACTTTCTATAGCTCAGCAGTTGTTCAAGCACTTTCCTGGTCTCTCTCCACCAGTCAGTCAGTCAAAAAAAACAAAACAATGGTTTTCTCATCCAGTGTTTGTAACTGAGGCAAAATATTTCACCTGTGTTCCGCCCACTTTACTGTTCACTTCCTTCATGGCTCCAAAGGGTTTCTGGGACATGTAGTCTTCTGGCACATAAACTAGGATAGTTATCCGATCTTTAATGCTTTTCGCCTTCTATTGGAGACATACCTGCCTTCTACAACACCCCCCCCCAGTACACAGAATGTTACCCAACCCAGCTCTCTTGTAAATGTTTTCATCTGAGCCTTCCCTTTTTACAAAAAGAAGATGCTGTATAGTCAATTCAATCATGCAATTTTGAAAGTTGTGGGACTCACCATTACTGTTTGAAAGTTAGGAATTTAATAAGAAACCTACACCTGTAAAAGAACTGGAAGTCCTTGTGTCTACGTTTTATGGTGTGAAATGGTTCAACTACTGTCCTGGGATAGCCAGTCCTCTTTGGGCTATAGTACTTCAAATATAAAAGTTTATAAATAATGAAAAAGTCCACTTAAAAATATTGTACCTGTTTTATGTGACTTTGTTGAAGGTAAAACGCCCCCAAATGTATTTAAATAGAACTATAGAAAAGCTAGGTATTTCTGTATATTAGGCTATGACTGGGTTGTATAATTTCTGTAAAATTACGCTCACCATAGTGTTACTAATTGAAGCACGAGGTGTGTCTTATTTTGCTGTACATATATGCAATTCCATGTCTCTTATGTTGTTTCTGATCCACTCCTATGCTGTCTAACCTCTTCTCTTCTGTCTCTGGTACCTGGTTCTTTTCTCTTTTCTACCAGTGTCTTCTCTTTGACCACTCTTGTATCACATCCCCCAAAACCCCTCTTATCACACTGCTGTGATTCTCACACTCTGTGTCCCCCCAGCATTTGCATTTTTTTATTGCGCACTGCACTTAGTGTGTCCCACAGAAGCATCTCCATCCTCTGATTGAGCATTCAGAAGGCCAGTTACTTCTATGTGGATGTGCATTTAAATACACCAGCAAGGCGCCTTAGCTGAATTTCCAGGGCCTCCGGGGATCCCAGCCAGTCTGCCAGCACGAGAGGCTGGCACAGAGGGCTGATGGGCGCAGTCTGGGTGGGCTGCTAATGTTATCCTCCAGGTCGGGGAGTCCGGGATAGCTTTCCCTTCTGCATGTCCTGCAGGTTGCTGTTGGATTTGCATGCGCGCCTGCGCTGCTCTGGTGAAGTAAAAAAAAAACAACCACTCCGTGTGCTGATTAATTCAAGTTGAATTTGTGCAGATACTCCGTTCATAGACCCACCGCGAATTCTGAACTGCCCTGGTTTATATCGCTGGCCATCTGTTGCACGACTCTGTACTTTGCAGTGTTCCAATATGTCACATTTTAGCAGTCTATGGTGTAACTGTCGTATCGCTCGAGTCACCTATAAGATAACTAGTCGGCTATAAAATTATTCCAATTTTATTTTATAGACAGTGATCATTCTGCATACATCGTAAGTGTTGACGAATGTGTCCGGCTAATTCAAAACGGCAGTTAATTCAGTCATACAACGAGTAGTGTACTCTATTGCATGCAGTGCACACACTAAAGTCGGCATAAACGTGTGTCTCACATTATCCCGTGTTTTAGCAAACACGACTTTTTTTTCTTACAGGAGATGCGTGTTTTTGCTGTTTTACTCGTTTTGTAAGCAGATGCACTCGGAATATCGGAGACACGACCACGCAAAAGGGAAATTGTAACCCCGTTGTTCTCCCTTCCAGAGGGACTGGCTCGGCTGCACCAATGATCACCAAGCGCGGGGTGGGAACACGGTCACTCTGTGCGAAACGCACAGGAAGGAGGCGGCGAGGGAGGGAAGTTCAATAACAAAGTGATTAGGAAGATGGCCCGGGCTCGGAAATGAAGAACGGCGACACTTGCTGATATAAACAGTGTAAAGACAACACCGATACTTTTTTAAGGCTTCGCTCATGAAGCTGAACAAGGCAGCAACCACGCACACAAAAAAAAGTGAAATGAGGCTGAACGAACATGCAAGAGCCCGGCCATGAGTTTCAATCACGAAGAATTGGCCGAGCGGCTGTGTAAGGCCGTGAATGTTGGAGATCCTAGGTAAGACTACACTAATTGGTACGCGTAGTACAGCAGTGTTGCATGTAAACCGCGTATGTTTTCTACATACTGCTATAGAAGCCAGGTAAACACTGTAAGCACCCTTACGTTGCATGCTTTTGTATGCATGCTTGTAGGAACGAAATTGTGTTCCGTTTTTCGTGCAATTTCCATCGTGCAATAATAATCGTCGTTTTGCGGGTAGTAAAAGCATTAGCCAGTAAAGAAAAACAAAAAACACGCCAAGAAAAAACAACAACAAATCAAATCGCGTCGCTGCAAAAAAAAAAGTTAATGTGAAGTTTCTCTCCGCTTTTACTGAGACTGTGTTCAGCTCCCGCAGGGTTCGGATGAGTTAGCTGTATTTTTTTTTTGTGGCAGCCGAACCCAGTTCAAGGTTCCCGGGCGCCACAAGAAAGGAACCACTTCAGAACTGTGTTCAGAGCTTTGATCTGCGTTCGGTTGTCTGATGTTTTGGGGGAAAAAGTTGCGAGACGTTTTGATGGCGTGCATGCCTTGTGTTGTAAAACAGACAAGTCTAGACATGTTCCCAAAGGAAACGTCTTAAATAGCGTATTGGTATCAAATAGCAATACATTAAGTATGCAATAGTATAATGGATTAGTATTAAATAATATATTAAAACTGGGTGAAAGCTGGGACCCTGGATTGGAAGAAGTGGTTTGAAAACGGATGGACTTGTTCAGGCTCTGCTCTCTGACCAGTCTTGGAGCTGTTGTGTAGCTCCGGTTGGAGCAGGGGCTCTGTCCGGGAGGGGTGGCAGATCCCTGACCGGCTGTGCTGTGCTGTGCCCAGGCAGGTGGAGGCGCTGCTCGTGCAGGGGGCCGACCCCAGCCTGGTCCTGCAGAAGGGGGCGGCCGCTGTGCACCTGGCCTCCGGGAAGGAGACGGAGAAGCGGATCCGCTGCCTGAGGCTTCTGCTGCAGCACGGCGCCGACCCCAACGTCAGGTGAGCCCTGCTCCGGTCCAGCCACAGCCTGCCTCCCGTTCGCGAAAGGCATCCCACAGCGCGTTCTGCGCTCATGAACGGAGAAATGAACGTGTGCCTTTTTGTCCATGGGACCTTTCCTTTATATCGTTTTCTGTGTCTTTGCACGCAGTAGTCTTCCATTTCATTTATTGCGTGTCAGTATTGCATGTATTGCAAGCCGGTTTCTTGTCCTTTAAAAGTAATGTGTTTTTACGTTTTGGTGCATGCTCATTTCAGGGCCTGGATCCGTGTTTTCAGATACACAAGATGCATTTGCTGGACAAACTGTTTTTTTTTTTT